GTAATAGGACTTGGTGATCCAGCTGATGTTGGACCAGAGTATATACCAGATGACGGACTTTTCCTATAATCCTGTTGTGATTGTGTGGGACTTTGTCTATTTTGCATAGAAGTACTGTAAGATGGTGGTTGAACAGGACCAGAAGATGACGAAGGGACTATCGGATAAGGAGGTGGAGGTTCAACCTGTGCACTAGAATTTCTATCGCATGATTGATAGATACTGAGTGCTTGCATTTGTTGTGATAATTGCTGCTGTACTTGCGGACCATTTTGTACAATCATTGGTTGGCGGCTGTTAGTATTATTATTAGATGACGCCACAGGGCTTGTACCCCTTTGAGGTGGATTTCCTGACCCAGATGTAGATCCAGAATTACCAGGTGCCGATGGAGGGGGTCGTGTTGGTACAACTGCAGCAGGAGACATTCGCTTGAGCATTTGCTGCATATTACTTGGTACATTTGGTTGACTATATGGAGCATGAGGTGGCGGTGGCGGTGGTGGTGTAGAGCTACATCTTGGGGGAGGTGGTGGAGGTGGTTCCCGTTCTATAAAATTGCTTGGTGAATATTGTCGACTTAATTGTGGATGTGGACTAAGTTCCGTCAAACGTGGACTGTCAGATCGTGAACTTCCTGCACCACTATCTAATGCAGGACTTCCTCTTTGGAGACTTAGCTCCCTTTCTAAACTTGGTTTTCTTATCAGCTTGGTATTAAGTTTACCAAGGCCATTAAGAGATTCTCCTTGTGCTTGTTTTAAAAACTCTATTGCTCCATCTAAGCGCCATCCTGCGAGTTTCAGGGCACGTAACCCTATTTCCTGCATATCGAATTAATATAATCAAATATAATGTAGAAACAAATTTTTTAGTATTATATTATTTATATTTAGCTAAAAAAGATTATATTAACATTAATCAAAAAGTTAAATAAAATCATTTAATAAATAGACACTGAAATATAATAATATAATAAAATAATACCACCATGATACTAATAATGATTAATTAATAAAACAATCATACCTCTGAGTATCCCATGGCTAATAACTGTGCTATTGCCTGACGTTGATCAGGTTTATCCGTGCACCCAGATGCAGTAGAAAGACCACTGAGACCTGATGCCGAACTGATACCACTAGTTGTGGATAAAGTTGATATAGTACTTGCTGCGCTGGAACCAACTTCTCCTGCTCCTCCAATATTAGCGAATGGTAGTAAAGAGTTGCGGATTTCAGCTAGTGCTTTTTGATGGTATCCAGAGCCACGAGTGCTCGATTTGCTGACCACAGGAGGATTCATAGTGGCCCATGCTAGGTCCTTAGGGACCTAGCTTTAATCTGGCTGGGGCATATATATATATATCTATAATTAAAATATTTTATTATTATACATAATGCATTACTACTACCATTAATATGTCAATTATTTTGTATATAATATACTCAGTCTTATTCAAATTTGACATTATGTATTTAAGACTGATGAGATACTACAATTTAAGAATACGTTCACTACCATGTCACAAAAAAGAAATCACAGCCCTGAACTTATTTTTCACATTGATTATTGTGATCATAAATGTGTGACAGTGGGTTCTTAATGGAAATTGATGCATCACAGATATGTGACACTGGTAGCAAATGTGTTAATGTACTTCATTAGATTATACTTTTAATTATTAAATATATTTATATTGCAAACATGATCTTGATATATATATGTAGAATAATATTAATATATAAGATAATAAAATAAATAAATAATAATAAAGAATAATGCTTACAGAACAATATAGATAGATGTTTTAATGTACTTTTGCACAAACACTCAGGGCTGTCATGGTAGTAGAAACGATACAAAGTTTGGTGATCCACAATACACAAAAGGTTGGATGCAAGCAACACTGTATTATGAAAATACTTCACTTGCAATAATGTCACATTAAAAGTATATGTGTTTTTTTTTAATAATTTATATAGAAGAATATAAGAGTATTATGATAATAGTCTGTAAATTGATAATTGATGGCAAAACTTGTTACTGATATAAAATAAAATGATCAGCTTTGTTATATACCATCGATTGTATTACAATTTCGTGCATGTTTTATGTATGAAATTGCAATAACTATAGTTAGACATCAGTGTACACAAAATGTTCAAGAAATGCTGCTGCTTTTCGTATTCTCGTACATGATAGGACCCATCATCTCAATGTTTAACCTATTCTGCATAGGAGTTATTTAACCGATTAGAAATCTTTCTTAAATACAATCTATTATTTTGTAACACTTTATTTAATACACAATTAATGTGTTTTGCCAATAAAATTCTTCATGTAAAGTTTCTTTTTAAAAGCAATGGTGACGAGAATGTGATTCCTGAGCATATTACGTTCTCACGTATATCTAATATCCATTAGGAGAGTATATCGTGCCTGTTTAACGTATGATACACTATTTTTAAATAAATTCAAATAATCTCTTTATCGATCCACCGTTTTAATTATACAAGCGATAACAAAGAAAGATAGAGCCGTAAATTACTAAAGTGACTGGCAGCCATTTTGAAGTGCCACATTCCTACACCGACTTGACACTCTTTTTCGTAATTTACGGTCTGCATTATATCTATCGAAAGAAAAACTAACGAATATCTTAATTTAAACATTGTGATAGTAGCTACTATTCAGATTTAATATTTTTTTCAATAAAATACATTTTAGTTTGATTATGATTAAATTTCAAAGTGGATCCATTCGGTCAATTGTTGGTAATACGAGAGTGCATCTCCATGGTAGATGGATGTCAACACGATTTTCTACCAATCGTTCGTATTTAAATGTAACAAGTTCTTATCTAATGTTCCCATTGGTCCATCCAGAAGATTTTATAATGTAGTGCGTTACCGAACGCATTACTCTTCTTTTTTCTTTTTCCTTACATTTCCTTTTCTATATCATTGTTCGATATATCGATATCGAATATTTGCAATATTTCTTCGATATAATTATATTTAGAAGGAATATTTGAATTTCGCTAAATTTATTTTGTACGATTTTAATCAACGATTACATTATTATTACATATTAATAATTATAATATGTTTATATATTTTATTATTAATTATATATCATAGTTTAAGAAGTCAAGATATTATTTTTATTGTAGAGAATTATTGTTTTATGTTTAAGCAATTTTAATTTTGTATTTATTTAATAATTGTCAATGATTGGCGCTTTCTAACGTGTTTGTCCAATCGCGCGTTATTTAAGTTATAAGCCTCCAATCAATGCGAGTTCAAATATGCGCCATATTCAACATATTAACAATAATTGTATGTATTTAATTGGATACCTAATAAAATTTAAATATATATATACAATTAAATGTTATATATATTATTTTTTAATTCAGTAAATTTTTTATTTCATTTTATTGAAATTAAAAATAATAACGTTAAAATATTTGGCATTGTTGTGATAAAAACAAATAATTGTTAAATTAAATTAATGTGTTAAAATAAATAAAAATAATTTAACATTAAGGGAGAATTTTTGTTTCTTTTTTAATACCTATGTTTTATAAATGTATAACTCTGTTTTAAAAAACATGTCAAAAAATATAATTTTAATAGAAACAAATACGGCGACGTATGTGCTACGTTAGGTATCATATATATATATATGTAATTATTGTTAGATTTTACAAAAATAAGGAAACATTGCTAGTGCAGGATAGAACCTAATTTAGAATAATTGCATAAATATGTATACAGGATGATCCACTAACTGTTAGCATTTAAATATCTCTGTTATTCGTTATAATATAGAAGATTAATATTTGCAAGATAAATAATAATTATAGCTTTCGAATTTCTATTATTAATGAGGCTTTAATTTACAATAAATGTTCGAAATTATTGCCGTTGGCATTGATGCAATGCTACCTTAGATGACCTTGCATGAACTTGCATGTCCTTGAGTCATACGTCGTTGTACTCCGCTCATGATCTACTATTACGCTATGGAAAAAAAACATATGAATCCATTTAAAAAAATCAAGGTGACCTTAAAAACTTTCATAGATCTCCACCCACGTAATAAATATTTACACTACCTTATGTCCCCCTTTATGCCATGTAAGTTTTGAATATAACATTTTTCTATATTATAACGAATAACGGAAATATTTAAGTACTAATAGTTACTGAACCACCCTGTATATATATATATATATATGTTTATATGTATGTTCAATAGTTGCATATGTAATAAAATATTGTATCAACGAATATCATAGAATTTAATCTGTATCGTAATTATCGTATATTCCAGGGGTTTTGTTATTTACTCTAGATGGAAATTCAAATAATATTTGTTTCAAATCAAGGACACTTTAAAAAGTATTTTACCGAAGGTTGGGATAATTACCTCAATGATATTCTCCCATGAGTCAGCGCGGGAAACACAGCACTTGAATTTCGAGTAGTAGGGCATTTCATTCGTTTATATCATTTTAAATCTTTAATTAAAAATTTCTATTAATAATTCGTTACAAATAAATCTATAAATATACATAATTTAATTGACTACAATCTTAAGTCGCAGCAAAAATGAAAGAAGAAGAACAAAATAAAAAACAATATTATTTTAAATATAGAATGATAAATAATTTGTAGAATTATACAAAAATATGAATGAATAATATTGTATAGACGTTGCGTATTATATATGTTTATCTATTATATGTATAATTGATGTATTCCCATTGAAAATGAATAATTATTAGTATAAATATAATTATTTTTACATATTCCATTAGCTTCATTAATCATTTCGATCGTTTGAAAGATAACGAATAACTGTATTGTACGGTGAGAAAATTTACATTTTAGTACGAAGAAAAAAATAAATATGTAGTGCAACAACCGATAGTATTAGTGTGATATAACTATTCTTCTCATCGGATATAAAGAGAATGTTACCGTGACATCACACAGTCTCTTAGCAGCATCAACGACGTATACAACGCAGAACGTTACTTCTCGTCTTAAGTTAGTTATTCGTGAGTGAGACCATCTTTACCGTTTCTTTTTTTTCTTATTTTTTCATATCTCATTTTGTATTTTTCTTCGTTAAAAATCGCGTGATTTGTTCTTCTGCAAACATATACACATACACATGCACGCACACACACACACACACACACACACAGAGTGGTAATTAAAGATTTATTTTTTTAGACAAATCGAAGAAGAATTCTCTCGAGTATTGTTTATTCATGAAAATTAATTTTGTAAGTTCTCCTGTTGTGTCATCGTGTATTTATAATACGTAAGGTGAAAAATGACGTATACTTTTTTTTATAGATTATTTCATTTATCGATTGTCGAGAATTTTAGATCGTCTCCTCGTGATTCTTCACGTGTTCATTACGTGATCTTACAAGATAATAGTTATTAATTATTTCACGTACTCGGTCAATGTCTTATCGTAAAATTATTCAACACGTGCTTACCACGAACGAACAATCCCTTTTTTCATAATTCTTTAAAATCATTATCGTTGACATTGAATTAATGTCACAGGAAGTAATGGATGAAAAATGTAGTTCCATCGGTGAATAGTATATTCGAACATAATGTATCTAATATCACGATAAGTAAATTTATTTGCATGTGTCCAATGTCAAGAGTACCCAACCAGAACTTTGTTACCCCTCCCTCTCCTCCCTATCCTTATTTCTTTTCATATTTCAAAAGTATCATCAAAGTGTTCAATTTGTCGCATACATTGTATTAAATAATTGTTCCATGGTGTACATCATTTATCATAATAACAAAAAGATATAGTGTCATCAATATTTTTTCGCTATTGTGCTTAGAGTGTTTAAAAAAAAAAGAAATTTTTATTTCTGGTATATATATAGTATTTATGATATAATAGTGTTGGTATAGTATGCTATAATATTTTCTGATATATTGGAAAATATTGTATAGGGTACGAAGGGAATATCGATTTGTAAATATTTACGTACAGATATCCTAAATATTTAAATTTAAATAAATTATTTTGATAAAACAGAGAAAGAAAGAGAAATAGAGTTGGGTTGGGAGGGGGAGGAGGGAGTTAGTACGTAGTATAAGTACGTCAATTCACATCAACAATAATGATTCAGAATATAAAGATCGTAATATTAATGTGAACTATTTAATCGTAAGAATTAAACTCATTAACATTCTTCGAGTTCGTAATGAAATATTACGATTTACGGTGAAACGCGCGTAAACGTCATTAAAATGATGTATTGGATTGACGTTATATCTTTTTATATTCCTCCTTTTATTTTTTAATCTTTTCCTTGGAAAATTTTTACGTAAACAAACTAAACATGATCTACAAGCACATGCATAAAGGATTATTATAGATATTTATGGTATAAAACGTCTTGTATTAAACGTTTTGTATTTCAGTTAAATTTGATATTCTCGAGGAAGAAGAAGAACAGAAAAAAGAGAAGTAACGTTGACGAGAGAAGTCATAGAAAATGTGGACTGTCGGATTGTTGATCAGCTTCTTTGGTCTTCTGAATATATTGCCATATGACGTCTTGGCTCAAGGTTTGTAAGACTATTAACGTTTAACGAAATTCTTGAATGAACATGTAGTTCTAAGAAAATTTCAACGTACATAGCCTTCACGCTGTAATCATAGTTGTTCTGAGTCCAATGTTTAATGGAACATCTTCGTTCCGTAGCTCGCTATTTTTATAAGAATCGATAGTAAATCAGATTTTTATTCGATTTTAAAATGCAGAATGCGTGTTGTTAACACAGTTTTTGTTCGTTAAAATAAACAAGAGAAAGAAAGAGAGAAAGCAAATAAGAAGAAGAATTAAAAAAAAAGATAATTAAAACGATTAACTCAGTCCAGAACTGTTCGCTTAAATTATTACATCTTATCGATTGGAATGAAAGTTCGAACACAGTCAAGGTTTAAGCCTTTACCTCGAAAAATCGTATTTCAACGGATAAGGTCAACCAGATTTAAAATTAGTTGCCGTTTAACTTCCATCGAAATTCCTTGAAATTATATTAATTAAAATAAAATATTTATATACAAGTTTTATAAATTACACTGAAACGTTATTCTTTCATTATCGATTATATCTTACGGAATTGATGCGTCAGATTCGTTTAACTGCATTATGGATAATATGATTTTAATGATTGTTTATAAGCTCTTGTCATTTATTCAATATTATGATAGTAATGGATTACATTTTCGAAGAAATTAATTTGTTGTTTAAGGATTATTTCTATCACGTAAGCACAACTTTAAGAAATCTTGCATAGATAATAATAATAACAATATAATAGTTACAATGATATGAGTTTATAACGATCATAGATAAAGTATATGGATGATGCATAATTTTATCAATCGACAGTTTATAAATTTTTGATTCTGATAACTTCGACATTATTGAAAAATTATAAATAAGAGATTAAAAAAATTCTTATCAATGGCAATAAAATATCTCCATTATATAAACATGTAATTATAAATTGTTTTTTTTTTAGATGGACCATCATGCGTTAATCCTTTGGGAGCGAACGGTATATGCATAAATATTAGGAAGTGTCCAATTTTGTTACAAGTTTTACAAGCACAACAACCGGAAACAATTAATTTCTTAAGATCTTCCCTATGTGGTTACGAAGGCTCTGATCCACGTGTTTGTTGTCCTAATAATGTGAACGAGAATAATAATAATGAGCCTAATAGCCAAGAAACTGAAAATACACCTTATGGTCCCCTAACTCCGCCAGTTTGTGGCATCAGTTATAAAGATAATGATAGAATTGTTAATGGTGTACCATCAACATTGGGTATGTATGTGCTTCATATTGATTATTGAAAATTCATTAATAATTAAATCAGTAAAAATTAATTATTATAAATTTTTGTAATATTATATAAAGATTAACAATTAATATAATCAGATAATATGTCATTTATTAGGTTCCTGGCCATGGATTACAGCTTTAGGATATCGCAGTAAGAAAAATCCAAATAAACCGGTATTCCTTTGCGGTGGAACTTTAATTTCTGCTCGACATGTCGTCACGGCCGGACATTGTGTTTATAATCGAAAAGATTTATATATGGCACGTCTTGGAGATTTAGATTTGGAAAGTACTGAAGATGGTGCTGAACCAATTAACGTTTTAATAGAAAATAAAATTTTACATCCGGAATACAATCCATCGAGTCATGTTAACGATATTGCTATACTCAGATTGGCGGATGAAATTCCATTTTCACGTAAGTTTTATACAATTTAGATAATTCATATATATATTTATTTATAAAATATGATTTATTGATTAGAAAGCAAGTGATGTCATGAATTAATAATATAAATTATTATGATTTAACAGGAAATATTCATCCTATTTGTTTACCAATTAGCGAACCATTACTTCATTCCAATTTTTATAATACATTCCCTTTCATTGCTGGATGGGGAGCAATTTATTTCAGTAAGCACACTTATTCATTGATTTATGTATTTATATTGTCTTTTTTTAAATTAAATATTAGATTAATTAGTGAAATATAATTACGATACTAATAGATAAACGTTTGGAAATATTTCAGATGGTCCATCGAGTAGTAAACTTTTAGAATCACAAATTCCCATAGTTAAGCAAGAAAAATGTCAAAATGCATTTAAATCTTTCTCCAATGCAATTATAGATGATCGTATTATATGCGCTGGTTATGCTGCAGGTGGAAAAGATGCATGCCAAGTAAGTAAACATATATTCATTACTATTAAAATATTTATATAGACGCAATGATTAAATATCTTGCATTTTGCATAAATAAGATTAACGTGATTATGAATAAATAATTGTTTAGGGTGACAGTGGAGGACCGTTGATGATTCCTAGTAATAACAGTTATTATCTTATTGGTGTTGTATCTTATGGATATCGATGTGCAGAACCTGGTTATCCTGGAGTTTATTCGAAAGTTTCATCTTTCCTCAATTTTATAATAGATAATCTTATATAATAATGACTATATTATAATAACATTTGAATCGTACGTTTTATACATGGTTAAGTAATAAATCGAATTTTTGAAATATCAAAATAGACACTAGTTTGTTATATATAGGATGTTCTAGTATTTTCTTTCGCAAAATTTCGTAAAAAAATAAAAAAAGGGTATAAAACAAAAATAAATATATGTCAGGAATAAGTGCAAAGAATTCGTGAAATATTTGCTGCAATTAAGGAAAATGAAGAAAAGATAAGTAATACAATAAATTCTATTTTCCGTAGATACCAGTCCTGCATTTATAATAACGGATAACATTTTGAAATTAAATTATAATTGAAATTTATAAAATTTTTTGGAAACTAAACTAGAACATTCTGTATATCGTTCGGTAATATTTTGTATTTTGTATTATTTTGCTTTATATTATTTAAATATACGCGCGTAAAAAAGCTATGCTTCGATTGGTCTAAGTCACTTCTAATGGTGAGTCATGCATTTGATAATTCTAATATCAGATATGTTACATCTACTTGCTTCTTCCTGTTACCATGTTAGATTATTATTGATATTGTTTGAAGTTAATACTAAAAATATATATGCATAATTTGTTTATAAATTAAACTATATATATTCGTGTATATTATTAAAAAATATTATCTTTTACCTTTACGTTTATTTCTTCTAAGCGGTCATAGATGTCAGGGTTGTTTAAAATGCCATTGGTAACGTTGCACGTGTTACGTTCGTTTAGTTTAAATAGGTTCACCATTCCATTGATATTAACAGCAACTGGCCATTTGCTTAGAACACGGAAGTGCGATTTTTATCGAGAATTAGTGAGAAAAATGTCTTACACTATTGTCGAAAGGGGTGCTTTGAACACGACAGATTATAGAATTTATTTCAGTAAGTTAAAAGAAAACCTAACCTTAATTCGGCTTTCGGCGTCTTAATACTAATTTGATCTTTAATCGTTAAAAGGTCGTATGGCGGGCATACCGCGTATATGCATACTTCTTTTTGCATGTCACGTATAATTACATATCTGTTTCTTGTGTTTTATTATTAAATTTTTATACTCGGTTTCTCGTCATTTTTAATTACTTTCAATTTTATTTCGTGGAACATATGACAAGTTGTAATAATTCGTAGATTTTGGGAGGGGGAATTTTGTTTTGAATATTGTTTAAAATTAAATTTATATCGAATAATTTTTGTTGTAAATATTTATCGTATTTCTTTGATATAATTATATTAATTTTTTTGTAAATATATATATATATATATATATATTTACAAAAAAATTAATATAATTATATCAAAGAAATACGATAAATATTTACAACAAAAATTATTCGATATAAATTTAATTTTAAACAATATTCAAAACAAAATTCCCCCTCCCAAAATCTACGAATTATTACAACTTGTCATATGTTCCACGAAATAAAATTGAAAGTAATTAAAAATGACGAGAAACCGAGTATAAAAATTTAATAATAAAACACAAGAAACAGATATGTAATTATACGTGACATGCAAAAAGAAGTATGCATATACGCGGTATGCCCGCCATACGACCTTTTAACGATTAAAGATCAAATTAGTATTAAGACGCCGAAAGCCGAATTAAGGTTAGGTTTTCTTTTAACTTACTGAAATAAATTCTATAATCTGTCGTGTTCAAAGCACCCCTTTCGACAATAGTGTAAGACATTTTTCTCACTAATTCTCGATAAAAATCGCACTTCCGTGTTCTAAGCAAATGGCCAGTTGCTGTTAATATCAATGGAATGGTGAACCTATTTAAACTAAACGAACGTAACACGTGCAACGTTACCAATGGCATTTTAAACAACCCTGACATCTATGACCGCTTAGAAGAAATAAACGTAAAGGTAAAAGATAATATTTTTTAATAATATACACGAATATATATAGTTTAATTTATAAACAAATTATGCATATATATTTTTAGTATTAACTTCAAACAATATCAATAATAATCTAACATGGTAACAGGAAGAAGCAAGTAGATGTAACATATCTGATATTAGAATTATCAAATGCATGACTCACCATTAGAAGTGACTTAGACCAATCGAAGCATAGCTTTTTTACGCGCGTATATTTAAATAATATAAAGCAAAATAATACAAAATACAAAATATTACCGAACGATATACAGAATGTTCTAGTTTAGTTTCCAAAAAATTTTATAAATTTCAATTATAATTTAATTTCAAAATGTTATCCGTTATTATAAATGCAGGACTGGTATCTACGGAAAATAGAATTTATTGTATTACTTATCTTTTCTTCATTTTCCTTAATTGCAGCAAATATTTCACGAATTCTTTGCACTTATTCCTGACATATATTTATTTTTGTTTTATACCCTTTTTTTATTTTTTTACGAAATTTTGCGAAAGAAAATACTAGAACATCCTATATATAACAAACTAGTGTCTATTTTGATATTTCAAAAATTCGATTTATTACTTAACCATGTATAAAACGTACGATTCAAATGTTATTATAATATAGTCATTATTATATAAGATTATCTATTATAAAATTGAGGAAAGATGAAACTTTCGAATAAACTCCAGGATAACCAGGTTCTGCACATCGATATCCATAAGATACAACACCAATAAGATAATAACTGTTATTACTAGGAATCATCAACGGTCCTCCACTGTCACCCTAAACAATTATTTATTCATAATCACGTTAATCTTATTTATGCAAAATGCAAGATATTTAATCATTGCGTCTATATAAATATTTTAATAGTAATGAATATATGTTTACTTACTTGGCATGCATCTTTTCCACCTGCAGCATAACCAGCGCATATAATACGATCATCTATAATTGCATTGGAGAAAGATTTAAATGCATTTTGACATTTTTCTTGCTTAACTATGGGAATTTGTGATTCTAAAAGTTTACTACTCGATGGACCATCTGAAATATTTCCAAACGTTTATCTATTAGTATCGTAATTATATTTCACTAATTAATCTAATATTTAATTTAAAAAAAGACAATATAAATACATAAATCAATGAATAAGTGTGCTTACTGAAATAAATTGCTCCCCATCCAGCAATGAAAGGGAATGTATTATAAAAATTGGAATGAAGTAATGGTTCGCTAATTGGTAAACAAATAGGATGAATATTTCCTGTTAAATCATAATAATTTATATTATTAATTCATGACATCACTTGCTTTCTAATCAATAAATCATATTTTATAAATAAATATATATATGAATTATCTAAATTGTATAAAACTTACGTGAAAATGGAATTTCATCCGCCAATCTGAGTATAGCAATATCGTTAACATGACTCGATGGATTGTATTCCGGATGTAAAATTTTATTTTCTATTAAAACGTTAATTGGTTCAGCACCATCTTCAGTACTTTCCAAATCTAAATCTCCAAGACGTGCCATATATAAATCTTTTCGATTATAAACACAATGTCCGGCCGTGACGACATGTCGAGCAGAAATTAAAGTTCCACCGCAAAGGAATACCGGTTTATTTGGATTTTTCTTACTGCGATATCCTAAAGCTGTAATCCATGGCCAGGAACCTAATAAATGACATATTATCTGATTATATTAATTGTTAATCTTTATATAATATTACAAAAATTTATAATAATTAATTTTTACTGATTTAATTATTAATGAATTTTCAATAATCAATATGAAGCACATACATACCCAATGTTGATGGTACACCATTAACAATTCTATCATTATCTTTATAACTGATGCCACAAACTGGCGGAGTTAGGGGACCATAAGGTGTATTTTCAGTTTCTTGGCTATTAGGCTCATTATTATTATTCTCGTTCACATTATTAGGACAACAAACACGTGGATCAGAGCCTTCGTAACCACATAGGGAAGATCTTAAGAAATTAATTGTTTCCGGTTGTTGTGCTTGTAAAACTTGTAACAAAATTGGACACTTCCTAATATTTATGCATATACCGTTCGCTCCCAAAGGATTAACGCATGATGGTCCATCTAAAAAAAAAACAATTTATAATTACATGTTTATATAATGGAGATATTTTATTGCCATTGATAAGAATTTTTTTAATCTCTTATTTATAATTTTTCAATAATGTCGAAGTTATCAGAATCAAAAATTTATAAACTGTCGATTGATAAAATTATGCATCATCCATATACTTTATCTATGATCGTTATAAACTCATATCATTGTAACTATTATATTGTTATTATTATTATCTATGCAAGATTTCTTAAAGTTGTGCTTACGTGATAGAAATAATCCTTAAACAACAAATTAATTTCTTCGAAAATGTAATCCATTACTATCATAATATTGAATAAATGACAAGAGCTTATAAACAATCATTAAAATCATATTATCCATAATGCAGTTAAACGAATCTGACGCATCAATTCCGTAAGATATAATCGATAATGAAAGAATAACGTTTCAGTGTAATTTATAAAACTTGTATATAAATATTTTATTTTAATTAATATAATTTCAAGGAATTTCGATGGAAGTTAAACGGCAACTAATTTTAAATCTGGTTGACCTTATCCGTTGAAATACGATTTTTCGAGGTAAAGGCTTAAACCTTGACTGTGTTCGAACTTTCATTCCAATCGATAAGATGTAATAATTTAAGCGAACAGTTCTGGACTGAGTTAATCGTTTTAATTATCTTTTTTTTTAATTCTTCTTCTTATTTGCTTTCTCTCTTTCTTTCTCTTGTTTATTTTAACGAACAAAAACTGTGTTAACAACACGCATTCTGCATTTTAAAATCGAATAAAAATCTGATTTACTATCGATTCTTATAAAAATAGCGAGCTACGGAACGAAGATGTTCCATTAAACATTGGACTCAGAACAACTATGATTACAGCGTGAAGGCTATGTACGTTGAAATTTTCTTAGAACTACATGTTCATTCAAGAATTTCGTTAAACGTTAATAGTCTTACAAACCTTGAGCCAAGACGTCATATGGCAATATATTCAGAAGACCAAAGAAGCTGATCAACAATCCGACAGTCCACATTTTCTATGACTTCTCTCGTCAACGTTACTTCTCTTTTTTCTGTTCTTCTTCTTCCTCGAGAATATCAAATTTAACTGAAATACAAAACGTTTAATACAAGACGTTTTATACCATAAATATCTATAATAATCCTTTATGCATGTGCTTGTAGATCATGTTTAGTTTGTTTACGTAAAAATTTTCCAAGGAAAAGATTAAAAAATAAAAGGAGGAATATAAAAAGATATAACGTCAATCCAATACATCATTTTAATGACGTTTACGCGCGTTTCACCGTAAATCGTAATATTTCATTACGAACTCGAAGAATGTTAATGAGTTTAATTCTTACGATTAAATAGTTCACATTAATATTACGA